CATTCCTACGTATACTCAACCACTCAAAATATAAGCTACTATCACTTGAAAAGAAAGCAAGAGAAAATCTAGCACAACAAGGCTTTTCTTCTAGCCTTTATATAAATCTTTCTCACTTCTGACAATTTTATACATCAAGACGTTCTTGGGATGATTTCATTTTCTAACCAAAATCATTAAACATTATTTCTTATTTCATTTTTGACACTTAAAAAAACTCTTCCAGAGACATCGCCATTATAATGCTGGGGAGTGATTAGTCAGTATATCCTAGTTCCTATAACCAAAGTTTTAATTTTCTTTCTCAAAATCTCTTCCGAAAAAATGTATGAATATCAAGTTTAAGTTTCTTTTTCAGTTTTTCATCAGTAATGCTACCACAATAAAAATTCTTTTCCAAATTAAATCCTTGTTCTATAGTTCAGTCAGCTTGAATCAAAACAGTTCACATAACTTGGATGCTGAATCAAAGTGGGTCAAAAACTATCAAAATCAAAAAGATGTTTGGGACACTTATCCACACAAAACAGAGATATCAAGTAAATGAATAAGCTAAATCTAGGGCTGGTTGCACAAGCACCGATACAGTGCTTAACAATGCTTAACTGATGTGACAGTCCCACAAACCATATTCAAATTCATGTTGGAGGGAGTTCCTGTTAGCCTCAAGATATCTTTACCAATTGTTTTGTTCAATTTAGAAAACAGTGGTAGTCACTATGGCAACAACATATGACCATTCAATTTACAGTGCATGTGATCTCAATGTACTTGTGTAAATTCAATTCCCTACATGAATAAGATTGCCAGATTTCATCAAAGTCTAACAAATATAAATTTTGAGATGTTGTTTGCCTACATTACCTCTGATAATCAGCAAAGACAACAACTATTACAACAACTTTTAGGCACTTTTCCAAGACCTACTAATTTTTTTAATGGAAAAACCAATTGCTGCAGTTATCCTATGTCTTTTTGTGATAAAGATGTCAACAGGGACCGGAATTTCAAGCTTATTTTCCCTTCTTCCAAAACCAGTTGGCCTCAGTGAATTTCTCATTCTTGAAAAATTGCAGGAAATTTTGGCATTGCCACAGAAGAGAACCTGATGTCAAGCACTTATATCACTTCAAAGTTCGATCCTAATTGAGATTTGAACTTTAAAACAGTGCCTTTTTATACCAAGTTCAATGCACTGTTGCTATGGAAACCATCATGGCTAGAAATTAATTGTAAAAATTAACACTGGACATCTTTTTTACTGGCACCAAACCTCGTGGAAAGAGACTTTTTGTTTACTTTGTTTAATGTTGGATGAAATTAGCAGTAACACACTGTCAATACCTATGCAACCAGCCCTGTTGTATAAATAGCAGATTGAACATCCAAGTAAAGTTCCACTCATCATCATTGCCAATAACACATGCCCTCAAAAGGTTTTTCGTTTGATTGAAACCTGGGTTTTTGCACACATCAATCAATGGTTTCCATGGCTTTTTCACATGCCTCTCTCATTGTTTCTGCTTGAAAAGCAAAGACTAAATGCGAGGATATTTTTTCAATGAGGCCTTCTGAATTTCGCTGATATTATACTTTGCTGCCAACATAACAAGTTTGAAAACCAACATTTGGACACTGTATATTACAGCCATATTTCATAAACTTACTCAGTAAACACTTGCAACTTGTCAAGATGGAGTTCTAGCTAGTTCTGAATTCTATTTTGATATGAAGTGAGTGATAAGTTGTTAGCAGCTTACAATTTCATTTTCACACAATGTTCATTCATTGAAGAAAGCCTCTATTCAGAGGATATTTTTCTGTCTGATACATTTCTTACTTTTAATTTCTCTTTGGCAGTTTGTCCACAGCTTCTGTGTTTTCATACAATCAAATACAACCAAATTTTGCAACCTGAAAATGTTTGCTTTTACTACAGAGAGTATTCCAGCTATTTTCACTCAAGCTCCCACAGAGACCATGCAGTTTTAACTGCAATTATCCATCTCAACGGAAATTGAAAATGCCAGTGTTCTTTGAAATTATTCTTGTACGGAAATGATGTGAGAGCCCTCTCTGGTAGAGGGCATACATCAAAACCATGGAAACAGTTGACTGACATCTACAAAAACTCAGGTTTCAAACAAAAGAAAAAACCTTGCAAGGGCATGTATTACAAGTAATGGTAATTGCTGTAAATACTACAAATGCATGGCGACATAGAATTATATGTGTTCTTAACAATTGCAGGGCAGATTTGGAGAAATACATCATGTACTTACTTTGTAATTAAAAAAGAGAAGTGTGCTGAGAGAATAGCAATTAAATTTGAAAACTGCAATTACTCCACGGGACAAAAAAAGGAACTAATGTTTTGATAATTAAAATGGAACAAAAATAATGCAGAGCAATAGCAAACTGAGCATGCAGTATCTCAACACACTTCCCATTGCAGTACTTGGTTCATTTTCAAAGATAAAACCTTATCTAACATGTAAGTGTAATCCACATTTCTGGCTTGCAAAATTCTTGTGTTCTGTCTTCTTTACCATTCTCCTCAAGCCTGCAATAAACAAAAAAATACTAAGACTAACAGTCCTAAAACATCTCATATTCTACTTTTTTTCAAGACAGGTACATTTAACAGAATACGCCAACAGGAAAGTAGCTAAGAAAAAAGGCTTTTTCATTAACCAAGCCAGCCTTAACTGTCCTTTTAAAGTTAACTTATGTCTTCATTTTCCAGAGTAATTTAAGCCAGTGGTAAGCCCCTTTTCAGCCAGTAAAGTAGCCAGCAGCCGGCTCTCAGTGACACCCATATTTAAGGAGTAGAAAATAAATTAAAAATGTTATTTCAAAATGATGTTCTCATAGGCTACCAATCAACAAAAATATTGAGGGGCTGATAGCATACAGGTTGTGTTTTCCTCATCCTCAGAAACCCAGGGTCAGTCATCTTTGAGCTCCATGATATCAACTAAAAAAAAACATGCACCCAACAAAGTGTGCACAGTTACAGCTACTATACCAATCAGGGGTGGATCTAGGGGGAGGGTGTGCACCCCCCTCCCCCCCCCCCCGAGATGACCTGCGGTTTTCTAATACAACTGGTATTCTGCCAAAAAAAAACTATGTGGTTTATTGGTGTTGAAGTAGAGCAAGAGACGAGTGCACCCCCTCCTAAAAAAAGACCTGGATCTGCCCCTGCAAATGTACATGCAAATTTCTGTGGAACCAGTTGGCCAAGGAACAAAATTGAATCTAACAATCTCTATAAGCAGCAGCTAGATTTTTGGCTTCCAATAACTGACTCAGCATTATATTATGTCCATTCATCTTCAGGTTAGCAACTGCAAAGTTTGGAGTAATAGCTGTATGTCAGCACCACAAACTTTTGTATTAGGTAAATTATTTAACCTTTCTTTGTTGCTGGGAACTTGATTTAAAGTAGTATTACACAAATTGTAAGATTGACAGCAAATTAGTGTTTGAATTATACAATTTAAATTCATGCAAAAATTTACAAACATTGTTGTTAGATATCCTAATGGTTTCAGTCTCTCATTTTTCTATTTCTTCTTTCTCTCTTGTAATTCACTCTGTACGCATGTCCTGCCTAAGATTAGCCATTGCAGGCATGCCAAAATTTGTCAATTTTTCTGAAGACCAATAAATAAAGGGTGATTTGAAGAGTGTGTCCCACTCGCCTCTGTCAGCTATAACAGCAAGGAGTTGTTCTTATCTAGAAAGAGAGGTATCTATATTTCTGCCAAATACCACCTTTTCCTTGTCTAAAATTAATGTCGCTTATTGTCACTGACAATGTCCACCATTTTTGTCCTGGTTGTTTAACCCTTTAAGTCCCAATAGTGACTATTGTCAATTTTCTCCTACCGATATCAATACAATGTCAAGCAATTAGGTTATGAGAATTCATAAAATGATCACCTTAGGGAAAATGCACTGATCTTTTATCAAATTCTCTCAACTCATTCATGAACAAAATGTATGGAGATCAGTTTGGAGAATTTGTATGTGGATATTGGGGCTTAAAGGGTTAAAAACCCTTTGTCAATTCCCATGATGCACGGCAAGCATGTTGCCACTTGTCTGTGACTGACCGAGTTTTCTACTTGCAGGTTACATCGCAACATCTGAATTACCTTTTGCTTACAGAATCATTTCTTTCAAATCTTCAATTCATATTCAAGAATAATTGTATCTCACTGGCTTTTGTTTTCTTTAATTTTTCATTATGAGTACATGAGCATGTTTTTTAAAGGAGGCCTGGTACGACGTTATTGTTTACGTTAAAGATTAAGGTTTCAGTAGTTTTGCAGATAATAATTATAATAAAACTTAAAGTCAACAAAAAAAAATGGCCTGGTTTATTAGTTTTTTTCAGTCTTTGAATAAAAGAATCTTCTTTTATTATTTTGTTTCAGATGTTAAAATACTGTATAATAATGTAAGGTACCAAAACATAGGCCAATTTATATAACCTACTTAACTGCTAATGTTTAAGGTAGAGCATCTGATGACCTACTGACCAGAAGGTCACAGTTTTAACTCCTGTTGGTCAGTACTCAGATTTTTTCTTCTGAGCCTTCTGTGTCGCTCACTGAAAAAACATCTCTCTCAAGATTTTAATATTTAATTTTATAATCTTTTGAAACCTTTTTTAGCACAATAGTCCAGTCAATCTGGGCATTTTTGAGGCTCAACATTAAAATAATTGCAACAGAACTGATTTCATTAACGCCATTGAAATAAGAGTGGCCTAAAATCCGTTCAGTGGAACATGTCAAAATTAAGTGTTAAAACATTTTGAGCGTTCAACACAGGACACACATGCTGGTTGAAATTATATGTTCAAACCAAAAATGCACAAAATGTGTTTGTTACCTTGATGGAAAACTTAGAGAAAAAATAATAGTTGCTACCTAGTTTTCGGTGATAAAAAAAAGTCTTTCTTTTTTCAAAAATGATAAATATTAAACATGGTTGGCTATTGCACAGTGAGCTCATGCTCCTTTGAAGGAACCCTAAAACAACATGTTAAAGCAGGTAAAGCTTCAACGCTTATAAATGGGATACTGGAGGAAATATGTTTTCATTTAAGGAAAAGTGCTGTTACCTTCGCAAGTAGAAGTCAAGTGTACATTTTAAGTCCAGGCCAGCCAAAAGTAAATGGAAGAAGCCAATTAAGATCGCATTCACTTCTCAACACGTTTGACAAAAAAACCATGTCTCAGATTTTTGTCAAGTGCATTTGATCTTTTGTTATAAGCAGTTGAAGTTAGGGATAGCAAATCATTATCACTACCTGTGAAAAAATACTGTAACTCAAAAACAAAAAAAGAAATCAAAATTCACAGACAAGGTTTTTTAGAAAAACTATCTGACAGCAAGTTGGCCAAATTTCAGCTGAATTGGTTCACGGGTTGGCGACTTGGAGTTTAAAACGTACCCTCAACTTGCCCTGATTTTCATTTTGATAAAAGAGGGGAGAAAGAGCTTTGGCGGCGTATTACCTGTGACCAGATTATAACAGATTATAACACCAAAGCTGTCAGTGTTGATGGATACCAGAGAAGGTACAAGAATAGTGACACAGCAGGAAAAGGTTACAAACGCGGCACTTGGCAGGAATTATTAATAATCTTCTCATACACTACTCGGCTCCAACGCGAGGAATTCGAACAGTTTAACTTAGTAACTTTATAATTTTCTCTTTAACTTTCCATATTTTCTGTAACTGTTACATGTCCTGTTTGAATAACACTTGGAAAAACCGTTTTAATAGGTGGAAAAACATGCCTAAAACAAAGACCAGATCGCGGCGGAAGAGAGAGGTAATCATTATCAAGTATAACAGGACTTGACTTGACCAAAACAATCACAGCTTGGAGCTCTGTTAACAAGCATCGTGCTACCAATTGCTGTGAAAACACTTGCCATTAATATTGTTACTCTTGCCAAATTTTAGGCTCAAAATTTGCTCGCATTAGTAATTTTCCTTTTTCTTCTTTAAAAAGGCTCTTAAGTAACGCTTCCTTAATGTGTCAGTTAGTAACCAGAGGTTTCTTTATCCACCAGTTTAGGTCAATATGGTCTTTCTTTAGGTTTTCCAATTCTGGCCTATGCAGCAATACTTGGAACTATTATTATTCAGCTGTAATATCATCACATAACCCACACACCTTTTACCACAATACCACTAGCAACCCTTGCATTCACTTTTTACTGCTTTTTTTGCCAGAAATAGAAAGTGAATTCATTGGTGAACCCCCATATACACCTGTATCCCACACACATGGTATTCCTGGTAAAATATCAACAAGGGCTGTCTTAGGGCGCTTTCCATTTGCCAGAACTGACCAGCCAAGACCATTCCCGTCATTTTTAATCAAAATTATCTAGCCAGATGAGCCAAATCTTAAACAGAATGCAAAAAAGAAGATGGTTTTTCAGCAAAAACCCTGTGGAAAAAGCCGATTTGTAATGGTAACAGGACTGAGTGAAGTCCAATTCGGTCTGTAATCATGTGAGTAATTAACAAAATTGGACGACCGCGTAGCGGGAGTCCGACTTGTTTAATCACGAGTATGATTACAGACCAAATTGGACGACACGAAGTTCTGTTACCAATTAATCATAACTTTAACAAAATTTGTGATAAATTAGGCTCTTTTCCTAATCAAAACACAAGGATTTCCGAGATCTTTTTTGCCAGCAGAGAAAAAAAAGCCATTTAAGCGCAAGCATGATGGCGCGTACTGTCCAATTACTTAGGTATGACGCGTACTGTCCTATTTAACTGTCCTATTAAGGCTGAAATCAGGGCAGTTGATAGCCAATCAGATTTAAGAATTTTGTTATAGTTATGATTACATTTGCTAACTGACTGGTCTGGCAATGCTCTGCCCAGCCAGTTCTGACAAATGGAAAGCACCCTGATACGATTAACGAAACAGTAACACAAATGAACATAATCAGCCACAAATTATGTTCACTCGGAAGTAGTATTGCCCCTAAAAAATCCAGATGTAGCCTTGTCTTTTGGTTACTATTATGGTTGGACTGTTATTACCTTGTCACACAAACATTAATTTGAAACATACAGTACAAACATGTATGGTCTCTGGCTAGAACTCATTCATTTGGGTAGAATGCTTTTTATTATGTTCTTGTTTTGATTGCTCCCAATTCTCTAAGGCAGTTCTGCATGAACGTGAAAGCATGAGCCCGAGTAAACAAAAAGATATAAACCCGCGAAATTCAAAAAGGGCCCGCGTGTCCGATTTTCAATTTCAATGAAAATAGCTTCAAAGCAATGTCTTAAAATTGGAGTCACTCATACAATGTCTACCAATTTGGTTAACGTTAAGACATGATATTTTACCTTCTAAGTGACTAACAGTGATATTTTATGGCTGAAAACTTACTCAGTCAGCCGATTCTGTAAAGCCGTCAATGCTGAGGCAATGATACACAGCGTGTCTATCAACTTAGGGTGACAGAGAGACATCACAGACCTACAAAAATCGAGGAGACTTTTTCCGCTTACACTAGTAACGCGACTAATACAAGTTACTTTGCAAATTTCAAGTGAAAAAAGGGAATACTTATCAAAGTAAATCACCTACTTCACGAAGCTCCGTCCACGTGGAACGCTAAAGTGTTATGATGTACGCAAAGGACCTTGGGTGAAAATGTGGCACGTGACAGCCCACGTGGTAAGCCAGCTGACAAAAAGCACAGCTCAGTCCGCGGCGGGGGAGGTGGGGTGGTGGGGAGTGGACGTTGAAAGCCAGCCATAGACAGGGAAAAGAAAGAAAGGGAAGCAAAAGACTACCCTAGGTAACGAAAAAATATACACCTAATCCATGGGGTAAGTATTCTCAGTTTTAGACAAATCAGCTTTAATAACTGAACCCACCGATAGCTAAGGAAAAAATTCCTAAACAATTTTAAAATATTCAAACAAATCCATCTTTCAAGTAACTCGTGAAAATATGGTTATCCTGTGAGCAAGCTCTCCATTTATGGCGAGTGAACACTCGAGCAAGCTATAAAGCCGCGAGGGGTGGAGGCTTTCTTTCCCCGCCCCTCGCACGCGCGTCTCCTTTCGCGTGCTACTCTTGCGTGACTCGTCGCGACTCCTCAAAATGGAGGGCTTGCTCGCCGGCTAAAATATGGTTAACCTCGTGGGATTAGGAAAAAGCGCCAAGAGTTACCCGCCCTCAACACAAGGGTGATGCGAATTCAGAGACAATTAATGAACTAACTCCCTCTGAAGTGTCACAGGTTATCACAGGCTACGCAATTGTAAATACTAAGCAAGTTATCAATCAAGCCAGGGGACGTATACAACGTAGTGAAATTCTCTAACCTTCTCAGCCATCCGTCCAGTTTTGCTCCATTTTCTGATCTTTTTAACTCCATGTGCGCCATTTTAAAAGGTTGGTTTGCCCTCTCTGTGTTGACTATTTATTTTATAACTGACTTAATCTAGAAAAAGAATCAGGTGAAGTATTCCTGAAAAGTCCAAGGTTGACCCCTATATAATAAAACCTAGACTTATGTTACGGCATTTTCACAGACTAATTTTCTTTTAGAAAACTTTTTACGCTACTTTAACCAGAGAAAATGAGAACTTCACTCTGTATGTGAAACGACAATAACAAACCAACAACAATATTATTTTCTGTACTCTTTTTTTTTTGCTAAATAGCTTGTTCGACTCCTGCAATAGTGATTTGTCTTCAAAACGAACTAGAACTAGACAGACGGCTATAAAAACCGGTACACTGAATACCGATACAGTGGGTGAGCTTCTGCTAAACATCGTTAGAAAACTGGGCACGATTTTCTAATGCACGCGCAAAGTAAAAACCTCCATTGTTACGTCAAATAATTATTGTGGTCGTAGTAAGGCAATGAACAAGTCATGCTTTTCTGGCGGGAACGAAAACTTTCCTCTCCTAGGATGAAAAGTACGTTCGCCAGACTCGACTCCACTCAAGGAGAAAAACCTTATATTTACCGCGAACCACACTCAACAAAAAGGTAGGAATTGCCTGCATTTTTAAAAGAAAGTTTTCATCTTTCAAGTCATTTTCCTGAAAGAGATCTTTTCAACTAACAGACCTTTGCGATTTTCAAACCCGGTACAAATTGAAAAGCATCTCCTTTATCTTACTTTTCTAATCCGTTAAACTGAATCAAACCAATTGAATAAAATATCGATTATCGAGGACTTTCGAATCCATAACAACGCTTTTACACATTATGTTTTTTTTCTCTGATCATAAACAAAATTTGGTCTCCATAGCGATTACTTCTCGCGTAATTTGCGCGCGCGTACACAGCGCGCCCTGCAACGGTTTTCTACTGTAAGTACCTTCTAAAACTTTAATACGACCAAGCGTAAATTGGCAAAACGAGAAAAAATATTCATGAATGGATGGAGCAAATGGACATACAAACTCACACCAAAGCAGTTTTGGAACCCACACAAAAGACCACTCACCATGCCGCTTTGTGATGAGGTTCAGTTTAAGAATGTACACTAAAAACAATAAAAAAACAGTTGAATTGTCATTCCAAAATCATGGATCCCGACCTGCAGACATCAGCGCCAAGACTCACAACAGTCCACTGGAAGTCAAATTATAATTTGTATGAAAATTTATTGTAAAATCGATAAAACGGTTAAAAGTACCAATAAAAAGACATTTAAGGGCACATACCTCATGACGGGTTGTGTCTATGTTATTTTCGTACTATTTCTGACCCTATAAACAACATTTTTGCAAGTTCTGGTGTTTCGGTTTCTCACCTACCAAGAAGAAGACAAGGGAAAACTCGGCTGTCCTACGCTGCCTACCCTGCAAGCAGTGGTTTCTTTAGGCCGTCCAGCCTGGAAAAACCACTGCTGGCAGGGTATACGCTGCCCGAAAAGAATGCTAAAAAAATTTAGCTTCAATCCACTCTATGCGCCTTAAAACTTCGTTTGAGTATAGATCGAAGATTTCCTTTCCTTGAAAAAGTAAATTTAGTTCCAAACAATAAACCATAAACCATGGTCTCAAAAGGACGAGAAATTTCTTCCGTGGATTACTCTTCGACGACGTGTACTGTCGATGACCGTTAATCTTGCCTTAGTAGCCAAGCCCCAATTTAAGAATCCCGTCGACTGAGAGGGACAGGGAAAACTGAACCAAAACAAACCTACCTCTCAGGGGTACCCACGACACGCTTTCGCTTACTTTACAAAGAAGTGGCGACAAAATCAAGGACCCCTGTCAATCTTACGATAAATTCCATTACAAATCCTTATAACTTGACTTTCAATTAGCTGGCAGAGTAAAATGCACCCTAGGGGAGAACAAAAATTAAAAAATTGGTCACGCAAATTATAAAATACTATAAACCTACAAAGTACGGAGAAAGTAAAATGACAACTAAAAAGAGAAAACGCTGAGGAACTATTAAGGTAAATATCTATCGTAACTTATGTATCACAGAAAAGAAACAGGGACAAAACGGTATGGATATAATCAAGTCATTCATATCATTCGTCTTTATCACAAGCAAGGGTGAGGAAAAGATCCGCCATGTATATATCATCCCTTCATTATAACTAAGAAGAATAACGAAAAGTTGCCCTATGAATATATCATCACTTAATTATAACACGGAAGGATAAAGAAAAGTTGCGCTATGTATATATCATCACTTCATTATAACATGGAAGGATGAAGAAAAGTTGCGGTATGTATATATCATCACTTCATTATAACATGGAAGGATGAGGAAAAGTTCTGGTATGTATATATCATCACTTCATTATAACATAGAAGGATGAAGAAAAGTTGCGGTATGTATATATCATCACCTCATTATAACATGAAAGGATGAGGAAAAGTTGCGGTATCTATATATCATCACTTCATTATAACAAGGAAGGATGAAGAAAAGTTGCGGTATGTATATATCATCACTTCATTATAACATGGAAGGATGAGGAAAAGTTGCGGTATGTATATATCATCACTTCATTATAACATGGAAGGATGAAGAAAAGTTGCGGTATGTATATATCATCACTTCATTATAACATGGAAGGATGAAGAAAAGTTGCGGTATGTATATATCATCACTTCATTATAACATGAAAGGATGAAGAAAAGTTGCGGTATGTATATATCATCACTTCATTATAACATGGAAGGATGAAGAAAAGTTGCGGTATGTATATATCATCACTTCATTATAACATGGAAGGATGAAGAAAAGTTGCGGTATGTATATATCATCACTTCATTATAACATGGAAGGATGAAGAAAAGTTG